ACACTGAATTAGCCAGGAACTGTTAAGGGAATGTGAAGCGTGTGGTGAGTCTTGACTACTGTGAAGCTTCTACACCTTTAGTTTTAGAACTTGTTTTGTTTCTTACCAAGTAAACTTATTTTGCATCCTTTGCCTGTTTATAAGCCATAGAAACAGTTATGAAGAAAACCTAGTTTTGTCATAGAGAACAGGCTGTTTAAAACCTTTTGAAATCATCATCATTATAACAAACTGTGGTTTGTCTATCATTCCAGCTGTACCTTGAATAAAAGCATGTAGACGATAAACAAAACAAGCCAAAATCTGATCACATGGTGGTGCCTCTGCTTTATGTTACTATGCAAACAAAATGTTTGCATTAGAATATTGAGATAATTTCAAGTAAATATTCTAATAAAGATTAAGTTTACAGAAGTGCAACCATTTTGGAAAGTAATTTGTCCTGTTGTAGCCAAGAATTTTTGACATGAACTGAAATGTAAAACAAAAATTGTATTTTAAGAATTACTGTTTCTCGTTACCTGGAGACAGAGAATGTTTTCCTTCTGCTATGGCAACGAGGACATGTGAAGTACAGTACCCCAATAACTTGGAGTTCTGCCACTAAATAGATGAAGAACGACAAGCCTGGTATGAGGGTGCTGTCTTTCTTACAGTTTGCAGCTTTCAGCCTGAATCAGAATTGCACTGTCTCTGACCCACACAGCAAATGGAAAGTAGCTTTAAGATGCATAAAGGCCTTAATACATGCTAAATCCAGTGTTGAGAGTGATTACTGCATTAGGAAGAGAGAGCTGTCAGCAGCAGGAAAGGAATACTTCTGTACTTTGAAAATGCTTGGGCTCTTTTATTCAGACTTCCTGTCAAATCCTTTAGTTAATTTCTTGAGTGTCTCATCTCCGACATGAATCATCTCCCAATTTCTTTGTTTTGAGATTTTTCACAGTTGTTTTAGATCATTTTACAAGCCCTTATTAAGTACTCCTTTCCCTTTGAGATTATTTTGTTGGGTTTTTTAATCATGTTTTGAAGCTGCAGGCATGTATTTTACATTGATTTGTTGCTCTTATTTTTCTTGCTGAATGTTGTATGTTATATTTGGGATGGGTGACGTATCTATAAAGTTACTTTGATTCTAAGCTAGGTGTTTTAAGGGGCTGATAGATGCAAAAGGACACTAATAATTCCCTGTTGTCTTTGGTAATAACTGTCTGGGAATTCCTCAGGTGGCTGGCATAATGGTAAACTGGGTAGAACAGCCCTTGTAGTGCCAACATAAGTTGACACCAGTGTGCAGAGCCTGGCCTGGTCTGAAGGGAATTGACTGCCGCGCCTGCATGCCAACTGTGCAGTCCTCAGCATTACAGCTTTCCTTCTCAGCAGGGTGTGTGGCTACTTGGAGCCTTCTGCTCTTTGCCAGCCCGAACAAGCTGGTTGGATGGGGCTTTGAGCAACCTGCCCTAGTGCAAGGTGTCCCTGCCTGTGGCAGGGGAGCGGAACTAAATGAGCTTTAAAGTCCCTTCCAAGCCAAACCATTCTAGGTTTCTCTGACTTTTGCTGACTAGTCCAGGGCATGTTCTGTTGGTGGCCAACACCCAGCATCTTGTGTGATGAATACCCATCCTTGACTGTTGACTAAAATGAGGGTGTATATATAAATGTTTCTAAGCTGACATACATAGGTAGATGCATTTAAAATCATGTAACCTATTGCCTGGGCTGTAACACCACCACGTGAACCCACAAATGAAAACAAATGTGTTGAGTGTGTTAACAATTTCACCTTCTTACTAAAACGAGCTTGCTGAGCACTGATTCCAGAAGGTCAGCTGGATGGTGGCTTTCTGCTGTAAGTTCTTCACATTATCACAGGCTTCTCATTTTGCAGGTTTTGCTCAAATATTGCTCAAGTTCATGAAGAGGGAGTTGTTTTTCTGTTCTCATACCTGTTTGCATTTTATGTGCTTTATTGTGGTGGAGGAAATTCAGTGATAAAGTCTATCCATTATTCTAGATAAATGCATGTGTACATGTGTACCTGTGTAAAGCTATATAATGCATTACATATATAACTAATAAGCAAAATGTGGTATGTATCACACTTTTAAATGTGGCTGCAAGAAAGATAAATAACATTGATTTAATGCACATGGTATATTTTGTGTCTAGAAATTTAACCCACTGGAATGCAGCATGACTCATATACACATATACTGTAATGTTAAAGAAAATAGTGCTCGGGTGCTGTTTGAAGAAGAGAAACCACAGTACTTCCCCAGATTTTTTTCATAGCTCAGATAGTTTTGTCTTAAAAAGAGTTTACAGTAGATTTTCACATAAAAGAGAGAAAAGATGGGGTTTTTTTCCTGAATTTTTTGGCTCTGTGCTGTGACTTGAGGGAGAGACCAGTGCAAACTGTGAAGAGCTCAGCCTGCAACTAAGTGACCTGCGCTGCTTTCCTTCACCTAGGAGGATGAAAGAGTGATGTCTTCTCTCATTAACTCTGTGGTTACCTGTGTTCAGTAGTTAAGTATTTGGAGCTGGAACGTGCACCTCTGTGTTGTCCAGCAGCTGCTTGGAGCCAGGGTGTCCATCCTGTGAACGTCACTACGTCCGATTCAATGACCAGTGGCTCTGAGCAGCCTCACACAGGATGAGGGGTGGCCTGCTAAAGCTAAACAAACTCCTGTTCTGTGCCTGCTAGGGGGTTTTACGTGTCTGAAAGCTGTCCCTAGGTGTTTCCAGTTGTTTTGCTGTGTGTTTTCCTCAAAAAAAGCTTGATTAGATTAAGCACATTGAATTTTAATCTTCTCTGCTGCCTTTTGCAGTAGGTCTCACATCTTGATTTGTCAGGAGAAGACCTTTTCTTCTAGGCCTGCTGCAACTAATGCTTTTATTTGCCCTTTCTATAGTTTCTGTCCTCTGTTTTATTTTCTTTTGTCCTCTGTTACTTTTATTTTGACTTCCCCCCCACAGGTTTGCAGTAACAAGCACAAGAAGTCAGTTGGATCATTGTTTCTTCAGTGCAGTGCTCTTCAAGGATCCCTAGATATGTCAAAATTGATTAGTGCCTGCGTAGGTAGACAGCTGGTTATTTAGTTCCTGCTTTTTGGCAGGAAAGAGAGGGCTCTGTGCTCCAGGATGTGAATAATGTGTATTTGTTTGAATTCAGATTTCATTGTGGTAAAATATTTCTGATACAGCTATCAGCAAACATTTGTGTGTAGTGCTACTTTGTTTGTTGCTATGCTGTAGGAGTTGGGCTAAATACAGCTCACTGTGTCATTCTTACATTAGTAAATTTGCATGGCCTCTTCTCTTGGCCTTCCTCCAAATATGTACAGTTTAGGAAATTGCTTAAACCTAAAAGTATCCCAAAATAGAGCTACTTTCTTGTCGACATGAAATAGCAGAAGCAAATTGGTGTGCTAGCAACAGTATTGCCATTTCTCAACTTCTGAATACTTTGCTGTGCAAACATTATTGCTATGGACATTGCACAAAACATGCTTGAGATAAATCATGTATGTTACATTACACAAGACTTAATGGATTACTTTTCCATTGCTCATTTTAAAATTAAACTCACCAGCTTCCTGTTTTTCTTGTCGTGAAGTCCTGTCCATCTGAGCTCTTACAATTTCTAAAATAGCCTGTCAAAAAAGGAATTCAGTAAAGTGACTGAAAAGTGACTTCTACTTAACCTTTGGTCTTCTAAACAATTGGTTGAGTCCTAAATAGATGAAACCAGACTATTTTTAGGCCCTAATCTAGAGAATTGATGTTTCCACATTTGCTTTGTCATTGTTGGTAGTAGTTGCTAAATTGTGAAAGCTTGTAGCTATTGCAAAAGCTTGGAGGTTTGCGAAGTGTTCTGCCATAATGCATTAAGAAGCTCTGTGCACTGTACATTTCAATTTATAATAAGAGAGTCTAGCTGATAGAACTGAAATATTCCAAGTCTAGACTACTGTCTTAAAAACCAGAGTCTATTGGCTTTTTGGTGGAGTAAGTTGGAAAATAACTGATAAGGGCAGTTGAAGTACAACAGACTTCAAAAAGTCTCAAATCCTCTAAGCCAGGGTGGGTTGGGAGGTATCAGCCGCTGCTTGCCTGCCCTGCTGAGATGGGAAGGAACTGATGTTTGGCATGGCTGATAGGTCTCGCAAGCTTTGTGTAGTTTCTGAAGGAGGTGACGTGTAGACCCTTGTTAGGTAAGGAAGGGGTTTCTGCAACAGTGCTCAGCAAGAAGAAGGAAAACAGAGAAACAGAAAAAGCAAAGTTCCCAGTCTTTAGAAAATGCTAATGTTGGTACGTTGCCACTTACAAAGATAATGGCTGAAAAGTTTAATGTAACAAGTGTTCTTAGGTGTTTTTAGCAGGGCCTGTTGTGATAGGATGATGGGTGATAGTTTTAGACTAAAAGAGGGGAGATTGAGGCTGGATGTGAGGGAGAAATGTTTTACAACAAGGGTGGTAAAACACTGGCACAGGTTGCCCAGAGATGCACCATCCCTGCAGACACTCAAGGCCAGGCTGGATGTGGTTCTGGGCAACCTGATCTAGTTGAAGATGTCCCTGCTCATTGCAGAAGGTTGGAACTAGGTGAGCTTTGAAGGTCCCTTCCAACCCAGAGTATTCTATGATTCTTTTATACAGCTGTTTCACACCTTTGGCTAAAAGAAAAAAAAAAATTAGCTTGCTGAAGATTTTAGAGTGGAACTGTGTTCTGTAGTAAGTGGAGGAAATCATGATGTAGCTAATACTTTTATGATCCCTTTAATACCCTACTGCTCCTTACAGATCTCTGTGTTTATATAATCATTCTCTTACTGCTGCTGGTGAAGTAGAACATTTTAGTTGTGTTTACAGTCATCATATGTTGTTGGCCATGGGAAAAAAAAGAGGAATATTCCCTCAATCTGGATTTATGGACTTGAGGAGTTATGTATTTGCTTTCAGTTTATCTAACACAGTGCCAACTTTCTTTTTTCAGAGCCATGGTGTCATGGAAAGGGATATACTTTGTACTTACACTATTCTTGGGAAGTTTTTTTGGAAGTATATTCATGCTGGGTCCTTTTCTACCTTTGATGTTTATCTCACCGACCTGGTATCGCTGGATCACCGATTCCATTGTGGCCACTTGGCTCACGCTCCCAGTGGTAAGTTTCAGTTTGAGTCAAGTTCTGAGCAACCATTTGTAATCCCACAATTTCTGGTTTTTTGTTTTCTTTCAATGCTTTTGTTAAAACAGGCCTTAACACACTTACTATCCGTGGAGACTTAGGTTTTAGCTCAGTGGGCAGATTGTCCCCCTCTTCTTCCACAGTTTAGTTTAAATGTAAGCTAATGCCATGTCTTTATAGTACTCTTGAAAAGGCCTTGTCGTGCCATCTCTATCCAGTGTCAGTTAAGTGCAGATCAGACTAGGTGAAGCACTAGGAAGCTGGAGGATTTTTGTAAATTACAAACTTCCTAAATGAATCCTCTTACAAACTCTTCCTTTCGAGTGTGCTCCAACTATATAATTAGGAGAATTACTCACTGCCTGGTACACTGTTACTGATCTTCACTGTTCTCTTACTTAATCCCTCTTAGAATTTAGTCCTTGTAGTTGAATTAGAGAAAATGATTTCAGGTGAAAGAGAAGAACTGCCCCTACAAAGGTTGTCTTCCTCACTTACAATGCATCAACTTTATAGGTATAGGAGTCTGGAAACGAGTAACAAAGCTCTTCCCTGAATTGTTCCTGAGGAAAGGCAGTATGAATGGGATCTGTCTCTTCATCCGTCCTCTAAAAACAAAGGGACTTTGTTCCTCTAGGCCTTTAAAGATTTGTTGAACATTTTATGAAGTAAAATGCTATATTGGTATGCAGAAGTACATATCTTGTGGCATAAAGAAAGTTTTATCTTTATTATATATCAAATAGTTTCTGCTTTCTCTGTTTCTGTCTTGAGTGGTTTAAAAGGGGCGTGAGCTGCTTCCTGTTCTAAAACTTTTGTCCTTTTCATCATTACTAAATGCAGTGAAATTTGGAGGGAAGAAATAATTACCCATAAAGGGAATACAGGCATTGTTAGTTCGTGTCATGATGAAATTTAGCTGAGTACTGATTGTGTTACAAAATTGACCCTTTCTCTGTTTGTGTCCCAGTTCTTCTAAAATTGCAAACTCCCAAATCAGATACTGGTATTTTATCTGATTAGCTGCCTGGGCTTTAAAATCCTGGATTATTACAACTAGTCTGTGGTAACATTTGTCGTCCAGAAGTTTGATTTAAGGCCACACTGGACCTAAACCAAAATAATCTGAATATTTTTGTGAAAAAGATCATCTTGTGAGGATCATGAGGATTTAGATTCAGGAAAGGGGTCTCAAAAAGATTTTACACCCAACCTTTTTGAGGCTCAGACCTTGTCTGCATTTGTTTTCTGTCCTTAGACTTACTCGATTCTTAGTTAGGAGAAGCAGGTACTTGGATTTGTGTCTCTAAACAACAAACTAATGTGGGACCAGTTGAACTCCACCAGGGTAACTCTGACCCTGACCTCTGTGGAGTAAGAAAGAAACTTCCACCTTCCTCACTCCTCTGCCACATATTATTTCCTTTCTAGCAGAGTCTGTAGGATGGGACAGTGAGGTGGGTCTTAAGTGTTTCAATTTAGTTCGGCTTATACTAACACTAGAGTATGTAGAACAGGATATCTGTTCATTATTACGGTTAACTAGATGTTAAAGATGTAATGTGACTCTTACTAAACTATCAAAAAACCCCTGCTTTCTTTTCAGGGAAAAAGATAACTGTTTACCACTTTGAGCTATGCAACCTATTCTGCCTTTGCAGTGGTCCACAGTTACTCTTAACAGCAACACCTTTGCCAGAATTGTAGTGAGCTATGAATAGTATTAATATTTGGCACATATAATGCTTTTCATTCTGAGAGCTTTTTGCAATTGCAAGAATGTCATTCCCAGTTTACAGGTCATTTAAACTGAGAAATTTGTGGTCTTTGAAGTTCTGTGGCACAGAGGTGGCAGAAATATGAACAGAGTAGAAAGTTGTTTTACTTCCTAGAGCTCTGTTTTAATCTCCAGACTTAGCTCTTTTTCTGTATTTTTCTGGAGAAAGAATGGGTAAGAGAAGGTAAGGAGGTAATTTGAGGTGCTTCCATTTTTGTATGTTAAGGCCAAATGTTTATTCCTCTACACGTCCAATCATGTTTTGGTGGTTTCTTTTTCTGCACTAACTAAGTAGGACAGCGTCCTGCCAGTGGCCTCAAGTCATACCTCTAGGTATCTGTTGTCTGCATCTGTTTCTTGGGATGTTGTACCTTTCCACTGTTTTTCCACTAGGCATTAAAAGGTTGCAAGGCACTAGCATTCAGTCATCCATATTTTTGAATTATTTGCCTCGTCCTGGTCTTTTGCTGAAACCAACCAGCATTCCTCCACACACTTCCCTGCATGATTTGGACATGGCCATGGATCAGAAACCATCTTCATTAGGCAATTTGAATGTTGTGTGAACGTGGCCAGAGCATGCTGTTGGGCCCTGATGTACAACTAGTTGAGTTATAAATTTATGATCCAACTGTGCAGGTTATGAAACCAGACCCTTTTAATCTTACTGTGTAGCTCTTGCCTGCTTTTTCCTTCTGATAAACCACCCATAACTTGACCCTTCAGAGCTGCATATAGCAGGTAAAGCAAGAACCATGTTTTTTATGTGAACTTCTGGCATCACTGGCTGTTTAGGCAAAATGGAGAAAGCTGTTTGCCCAACCTCGTTTGTGTCCTTTGAAGTTTGATGCTTGTTCTGGGATATGTAAAGGCTCTTCACAGATGACTGTGACCACCCACCACCAGTGTTTGGTGGTTGATGCTTTTTGCCAGTTGTGGGGTAGAGGCAGGTTTCTAGGTAGCAGTGTAGAGCTGTACAGACGTAGGTCTGCATCACTGTACTGTGTCCAAGCTTGTTTGGGATTTCTCTCTCTCTGCTGCTCTTTCTGCCATTAGGTTCTAGCTATTTTTGCAGGTGGAAGTCAAGCACAAACATGCTGTCCATTCGGATCCAAGCAGAAAGCAAGGCTGCTTCTGATGCCTTCCCAGCCCTGACAGTATTGAGCAATAAATTATTTGTGCAACCAGTCTCTCCTTAGAGTACCTACCAGTCACTTATAACTGATTCCCTTACTTTTATTCTTACGTGATAGTATTCCAGGAAAACCAGAGAAAGGTAATAATATTGGACGTTGATTGTAAAAGAGTGCTTTTTAAGAAGCCCTATTTAATTACTGTTTCCTTTTTCATTAAACAGTCGACTGTTACTGTGGGAAAGCTGGGTCCTTTATTAGAAAACAGTCACAAATTTGTTTACCAGTGATTATGTGAGTGAATAAGTGAAATAATTCAAATGAATTTTTATCGCTAATGGGCCGATGCTTTTCTTCTGGGAGTACAGCCATAATATTGAGATATTATTTCTAGGCCTTGCTGGAAATGGTGTTTGGTGCCAAGGTGGTTGTCACTGGTGATGGATTTGTTCCTGGAGAAAGGAGTGTCATTATCATGAACCATCGCACACGAATGGACTGGATGTTCCTGTGGAACTGCCTGCTGCGATACAGCTACCTCAGACTTGAAAAAATCTGTCTCAAAAGCAGTCTCAAAAGCATTCCGGGATTCGGTAGGTCACTAAACCCTGTCATTTGAAGGGAAAATGTGTTTAAATTTTGCCCAGCACTGGTCATACCCTGCTAAATAACCTAGGTTTAAATTCTGTTTCGGTACTTTAAAAACAAATTGTGCACAATATGTGGCATATTGAACGATTAAACTATAGATCTCTCAGGGGACACCCGGACTTCATGCTTAAGCATTTCTTTTTACAGATACTACATGTGCTGCTGTTGCTTATAGGTAAAAATATTTCTGCTTTATGTACTGAAAGTATTTGTCAAAAGTTTGAAGAAAGATCTTGAGTCTCTTTTCAAAGTCTCTTCCAACGCTTTGTTTTGATGCTGTTTCACCCCATGTTGCAAATGTTCTCATCAAGCTTCTTTCTTCATTATTCAATTTATACTATTGAGAAGATTTATAAAAAACAAAAAGCCTTGTAGGCAATTGCAAAGTTGATGGTTCATTTTAGTAACTGTAGTTTGAAATTGAACTTGGTTATGCAAAATATGCTGTACAGGATATGAAATAATCAGTATTTATAGTGGTGTAGGCTGGAAATGGATCCGAGTTGCACATACTCAGAGAAATTGTTTAAGGCCAAAAATTGACATTCAAATGGTTTCTGAATAAATAGGCAGACTTAGCTGAAATAAAAGCATCTCTCTGCCTTCTATTTATCTCTTAGATTTATTTGCTGTTTTATACAAAACTAGCTCGGGTAGGATATGCGTCAACTTTATGATGTCAAAAGAGTAACCTTATTTATGGTTCCCTTTTGTCGGGCCATTTATCAGAACACATCATTTTGGCAGGATTCCATACTGAGGAGCTCTCGTACTGTTGTGCAGTTATTGCATTCATTTGCTGGGCCTTTAGTCCTCTTAAGAGCGAGCTGCAACTATGTAAGATAGTTTCTTTTCCCTAACAGTCAAACGTTAGGGTCAGTTTTACTTGATCAAGACATCGCTTTTAACGTTACAGGAAATAAGAAAATATGTATTTAGATAAATGTTTTATAATACAGCAGAGATGTTTTGAAATCTTCTTTGGAATCAGCTGCATGTGCAGCTTTTAAAGCAGTGATGGAAGATGGAATCAGGAGTACAGGCTGGAAGGTTCATAGGTTTATCTCTTCAAGAGTAGCATATATTTTGTTTGTAGAAAACATTTGTATGTGTGCTTGTTAATACCTTTAATGAAACTTTCAGGCCAGCTCCAGGAGTTAGGAGTTGCTCAGAGGTAGATTTTATTATACTTTTTTTTCCCTCTAACTCTCCTTTCTTTGCATAAACTGAGCACATCTGCTAAATTTGCTGAGTAGGCTCAGGCAGATGGAGCTGTGGCAGACAAGTGTTAGCAGACCACAATGCCATCTTTGTTCAGTCTGACAGAGTAGCTTAAGGTGCTAATGAAATTCTGGGCTCGTACTCCACTTTGTGGGCTGTGATGGTAGACATTTACTCCTGTTGTCTGTGCTACAGGATGACAATTTCTGGCAGTAGAGTGGGTGCCTGGATCTGTAGTGTTATAATCCACTATTATTATGCCAGATCCCTAAGTACCCTCCACAATATATAGGCTTTGAGTACTTTGGTTGCAATGTTGTGAATTACAGCTTATTTTTTAGTAAACTGTTAATGTTGTGTTATTAATCACAGGATGGGAATTTAACTAAACAACATCCTTCATTCAAGCCATAATTTGATGCCTAAAATTGCAAATGATCAGCTTCTATCATAGTGTATTTAAAAAGAGGCCTTAGAAATACGTGTCTGTTCAGTCAGACTGTGTTTTGGGTGGCAGATTCTTGCAAAATAAAGTATTCCCCATAGCCACTTAATTAGGGGTCAGTTGGAGACTCTTAGATTAAATGAAGATTGTCGGAAGATGACTTTTGCGTATATGCAGTTTGATAGGGCGGTGGTATAGTAGAGAATGATGTCTAAAGAGGACAACCCTGAATCTCATAGGTAAGAGTAGAATTTCTCCTGATTATCTCTAATGGCCCTGCTGTGCTCTGTGACAGACCTTTCATAGGTGTTTGTCAGATTTAGTTTTTGGTTTTAAATTATGTGTTTTATATATGAAAGTTTTGTTTTATGAGCTTGTAAAAGTGAGAAGATAACTTGGAAATCAACTAGATACTTACTATAACTGATCTTGAGATGTTGCTCATTTAAGGTTTAATATTTATGGAAATTAAACCAGCTACTTTAATCATGTCTTTCAGTGGCATCTTTTCACATACTCACATGAATTAGTTGTGCATAGTCGAAAGTGTAGGATTATGGACATATTCATATATTGGCTAGATGTAACTTCTAATAAATCCTCAATGTTAATTTTGCTTTGAGTTTGAGAAATATTTTAAAGAATATAGTGTACTGCTCTCAGTGTCCTTTTTTTTCTGATCTTTCAAAGGCTTTTTGTTTCTAACAAGCATTTTCTTTCAAATTATGTGTAAGATAAGGTTTATCTTGCAACCCTTTCACTTCTCCGAGTCTGAAAAACTTGCTAGTATTAAGCATAGCACCTTTGTTGTCGTAAGTACTTTCCCATTTGGGGTGTAAAAATAGGTCTATGAGAGATTATACTCATCCAAGTGGTATAAGGTGAGTGAAGAGCAAAGCTTGGAATGGAAATAGATCCAGAGTCCTTGTTGCCCCCTTTGTAGGTTAAAAGTATAAGGGTATCAGATTTAATGAGTCTGTGTTACAAGTAGGCAGTTATTTTCTAGTTAATTATAATTAGAATTGGAGGAGTCAGTATTTCAAGCAGTTGCATTGAGTCATTTATCTGCTTCTTGAGTTACTAATTCTTTGCATTCCAGTGTATGAAAAAACTTTAAATTGATTAAAGGTGAGCCTTAAAAAAAGCCCAAAGAAAAACAGATGGTTCCTTCTTCCTGGAACTGTGGCTTTGGCTTGATAAATCGTGTGCAGTAAAGTTTTCAAAAAGAGGTATTACATTTCAGTAATCTCAATTTCAGAAACATTCTTGCAGTGTTTCAGTACAACTTGCCAAAGTTGGCGTCTCGAGGGAGCACTGCTCTGCTCATAGCCGTTGCTGCAGTTTCTCATCTGACATCATCAGAAACTACTGACACATTCTGCAGTGTCACTTTTCAAGGAGGATTTCTAATGGCATTGACAGTTTCCTGCACAGTCTGACAAGACAGGACTTCTCTACCGTACTTGCGATAGACCTCTACAACTTGTATTCTCACCTATTCTCAATTAAGAAGGAGTAGCACTGAAAGTGATGCAGATGATGATGCAGTTGTGTTAAGTATGTGCTATGGAATACATGCTGTTCGAGTAGCTACCAAGGGACATAAACAGTAATGTCAGATGACCAGATAGTAACTAGAAGACAGTTGCATCCTTACTTATTTTTTCCTTAATAGTTTCATTTGTAAAAGTCTTGTGATGTGAACCAGTAAGATTTCACTGGAAATAGAGATCATAGAATCATAGAATGGTTTGGGTTAGAAGGAACCTTAAAGCTTGTCTAGTTCCAACTCCCCGGCACAAGCAGGGACACCTTCCACTAGAGCAGGTTGCTCCAAGCCCCTGTGTCCAACCTGGCCTTGAACACTGCCAGGGATGGGGCAGCCACAGCTTCTCTGGGCACCCTGTGCCAGCACCTCAGCACCCTCACAGGGAAGAATTTCCTAATGTCTTATCTCAATCTCCCCTCTCAGTTTAAACCATTCCCCCTTGTCCTGTCCCTATAGGCCCTTCTAACAAGTCCCTCTTGAGATTTCTTGTCAGCCCTGTTTAGGTACTGGAAGACTTTAATGATGGACAATTCACATGTTTTGGGTGGGCTTGCAGTGATTTGTATTTTAGTGGTTGAAAGTAGCTTGACATCCACATGAAAAATAAATTAAAATTTGAGTTTAATTTGAGCACTCTAAGGTAAATTGATGGAAAAATGAGAGAGAGTCACCAAAGGGGTTAATGTCAGTGTATGGCTGCTATGCAAGGTAATATTAATCCTGGGTTTGCTTAATGCAGATGGAAAAGATAAATAACACAATAATTGAGTGTACAAATATAAAGTATGCAGGTGCTGCAGGGACTGTCTTGAAGATTTACCATTTCGAAAAGGCTTACAGAGACTGCTAAAGCATGGAATTACAGGTGGAGCAGATTGGGGCAGGAACAGGTAAGGTAAAAGACAAGGTGATGGAGGAAAAAAAGAATAATAAGCAAAGCTGGCAAACATCATAGAATCCCAGAATGGTTTGGGTGGGAAAGGACCTTAAAGCTCATCTAGTTCCAACCCCCTGCCACGGGCAGGGACACCTTCCACTAGACCAGGTTGCTGGTCTAGTTGCTGAGTAGTTAGAAGCAAAGAAAACTGAGTAACTCTGTCCAGATCATAGAATCATAAAATAGTTAGGATTGGAAAGGACCTTAAGATCATCTAGTTCCAACCCCCCTGCCATGAGCAGGGACACCACACACTAAACTATGTTGCCCAAGGCTCTGTCCAGCCTGGCCTTAAACTCCTCCAGGGTTGGAGCATTCACAACTTCCTTGGGCAACCTATTCCAGTGCCTCACCACCCTCACTGTGAAGAACTTCTTCCTTATATCTAACCTAAAGTTCCCCTATTTAAGTTTAAACCCATTACCCCTTGTCCTACCACTAGAGTCCCTAATGAAGAGTCCCTCCCCGGCATCCTTGTAGGCCCCCTTCAGATACTGGAAGGCTCCTATGAGGTCTCCACGCAGCCTTCTCTTTTCCAGGCTGAACAGCCCCAACTTTCTCAGCCTGTCTTCATACAGGAGGTGCTCCAGTCCTCTTATCATCCTCGTGGCCCTTCTCTGGACTTGCTCCAACAGCTCCATGTCCTTTTTATGTTGAGGACACCTGAACTGGACACAATACTCCAGATCTTCCATCTCCAAATTCAAGGTATTCTGTGGCTAACATTGCTTATTCAAGGTGTAGGAATGTTTTAGTTGTTTTTTGCTTGTCTGGTTATAGTAGCTCTCAA